CTCCTACTGAAGTAAAGATTCAGGGGCCATGATTATCTGTGTTGCATCTGATCCCTGCATTAGCTGAATTTTTGCCCCCATGTCCTTTGTCTCTCACTACCTGTTAATCTTTGTGCCTGAATCCCCCCTCCCCCCGAAATCAAATGCTTCCCTCTCCCCTGTCCATACATCCCTTTTAAAAAATAAGGCTATTTAAGACACACAGACTTTACAGCTTATGACAATTACTATAAGGAATTTGTGCCCTGGAAATACAGGTTTAGTCCAATAACTAACTGGAAGTAGCATCATCACATTTCCAGGTGCTGGCCTTTTGTACCATCTTGAAAACTGGAGGTGGAGTAAAATGTGAGCCCTCCTACATGCCAAGCAGGTTCATTCTATCCAGGCGTCGGGCTGGTGTGGAACAGAGGCATCGTGGCTCGTGGCAGTCCTCCTCCAGGCCAGGAGCTGGCACCGGAGGGCAAGAAGGCAATGGCTGCTTCTCCTGTTGATTAGCTTTATAAAGTGCTCCATGCCAAAAGAAACCGGAGTGGTACACACCACATTAAAATACAAATGGTTTTCAAGAACATTAAGGCAGTGGCTGGGATGTAGCCTAGCAAAATGTGCAGCAAAACAAAGCTGTGCTTTGAAGCCATCATCTCGGCTGGTAACAGAAGAGGAATGGGCAACTCACAACTGGCCAGATGTTTTGGCCTACAAACCCCATCTTCCCTGTCCAACATAGCCAACTTTGAGGGCTGTTAGGGATTGCTGTCGCAAAACATCTGGAGAGACTTTTCCAAGTCGCCCACCTTGGAAAAAAATGACAGGCAGGAGGAAGGAAAATTCCAAATGTTTTGGACTGCAATTCACATCATGCCTGGCTGTTGGTCCCATGGGTTGGGGCTGGTAGAAGTTGTAGTCCACAGTTATTGGAAGGGTACCAGGCTATGGGGGGAGGCTGGATGCTTGGCTGCTTGCTTGGTTATTCGCTTGCTCTCTCCACATGCTGTTAGCTACTGCTTTGTGTGTGTTACTTGAGGTTATCAGCCACGGTGAAAGGAATAGCAATTACTGCCAAGTGATAATTGCCACGATCCAAATGAAAAGCATAGCCAGGAGTAGGAGAGATGTAGGCTTTGCCCCATTCCTTTGCTCAGCCATACCTGGCATACATGCACACAGTGCTGGGACCAGAATAGTACTGAGATCATTTTGCAGCCACTGGAAAGAAGTCTTTGTCCCAAAGTGCACAATGGATGAAAAGACTAGGCAGGGTACAGTACCTCCCTCTGTGTCATATTCAGGCACAGGAAATGGTACTGGCCGGGTGTGTAAGACACAACTGCCCGTTATGAGTTGGGGTGTTGTGTGAACCCAGGCTGGATTCCTCTGGCTTGTTCATGGGCATGATGCTGCAGGGGTGGTTGTACCCATAATGGGCCGTTGTGTTGCTTTGCCAAATGGCTTCTGGATGATCACCATGCTAGCTGTCCCAAAAATGCCCGAGTGGCACTGGGAATGGCTGGCACTGGCTTCTGCCCACCCCCGCAACCCCTCGTTGTGATTGTGAGCTATTTGGGGGGGGGGGGGCTATCTTCTACCCTTTAAAGTATTTTAAAAAAACTTCAGATATGAGATCACTTTGTCCAGCCAGTTTGCACATTCCCCTTTTCGACTGGTCCCAGTGGAACCTTGGGGGGCCTGCCTGAGGTTGCCGGGTATTTTAAAGAATGGCTTCTGTCCCTCTTAATTTTTGCAAATACTTGCCACTAAGAATAGAATTGCCTGTCTTGTGCAATGGTGTTTCCTGCCAAAACATGTTTTTACCCCTTTCTAAATCCCCGTTGAACAAAGGAGCATGATCTTTTCTTCTATCTCAAGAGCATGCAAAAATGCGAAATGAGTTCTTTTGACAGCTGTCAGGTATAACCAAAGGGAAAAATCGGCTTGCCTGCTGCCTCTACGGGGCAATGCCTCGGGTGGGTTCCTTCAGGACTTTGCCTGAAGGCTGCACCTTCAGCTTGGCCCACTGGCGCTCCGAGGCCTGCAGCTCTGCAGCTGCAAAAGTCTACAGATGCCCAGGCAGGGGCAACTTCATTTGTTGTTTAAATTGCAAGCATTTTCAAAAGTTAAGAGGAACAACAATAATAAAATAATGACTTGCTAATATGGACGGTCCCTCCAATGGGCCACTGGGACACTTTGAAGGGACTTTTTGTTGCTGTCAAACAGGGAATCACAGAAGCGGCCTTGTCGGCCGGCTTCAAAGGAGGAAAAGTGTAAAGGAAACAGCATCCATGGGGGTGGGGTGGGGGTGGGGGGCTAAAATGGCTCATGATCGCCATTGGGAGTGAGAGGATAATTTTGCCTTCCCATGGTGCCTCCTGGGATACCCCCAGGAATACCTGTGTAAAGAATAATGCAATGTGTTTATATTGCATAGTGCATGTTCGATTGTGCTTTAATGGATTGTTATAAACTGCCCACGAGGCTTCAGCTGTTGGGTGGTATCGACCTTAAATAAATCATACAATAACACCAAGGAATGGGGAGAGGGACACCAGCCTAGAGAGAGCTCAGCTGAGTCGGGTAAACTGTGGGTTGCTGGCACTATAACCAGCCCACTGTGGCTTGTTGCCAGGGTGGCTTTGCATGATGCGAATGCTTCCAGTGCCTTTGAGCTTTTATGACGGGTCGGGGCGTAAGGGCCACCCACACATTTGCCCCTGCTGGAAATCAGTCCTCCTCTACCACACTTGGGTTTTGAAAGTCCTCCACTGACACCCCAGGGTGATTTTTCGGGGGGGGGGGAGATTTGCAGCATTGTGGAGGGGAGAGTTAGCACTCCCCTCAGGAGACACACTGCCTGAAAAAAGGCTTTCAGCAACAGCGCTGGGGCTTTAAAAACACACCTTTATTTGTGCAACTGCTACTGAATTATTTCTGTGGTCCTGCACACTTGTGCATAGCATGACATTTCTCACCTCCCCCCCCCCCCCCCCCCCTAAGGAAAGCTTCCTGGAGGCAGCGCATAGGGTCCCCTGTTACCCCTGTTAACCATTTTGTCTCACAAATCAAGGAGATGGCAGTTCAGAGAAATGCCCTTTGCTGTTCACCACCTGCTTTCACACCTTTTCTAGGTGAGTCTGTATGTGGCTGAAAGGTAGAACTCGAATCTGCTGCACGAATACGCAGAACTGTGCAGCTGTGAAGCAAGATGCAACAGGAAATATGCTATTAACAGAGATTCCGTAAAGTAGGGGTACAGAACCTCCAGGCCATGGGCCTGATACAGCCTGTGGGGTACCCCACTGTGCCCCTCTTGAGGTCCTTCTAGGGGCTTGGGCTTGGCTTCATTAGGGTGGCCAGAATTTCTTTTTTATGCTCATACAAGCAGCTAGAAGTGCAAGGCTTGATTAACTGCTGATGGTGCCTTTCTCCATGCTCGGAAAATTTGGCCTTTCAGTAACTTACAGTGGGCAACCTTCAGGATGTATCATTGCAATGGTTTTACTCCAGCTAGGACTGACATTGGACAATGCATACAAACAAACTCGGAGTTGGCAATGCTGTGTATGACTAATGTCTTCACAATCAAACTACTGTAAAAGGCCCAGACGGCTGGTCTGGGTGCAATGATCCCTGAAGATCTTTCAAGTCTAGTTGCCCTAAACACAATTGTCCTTAGCCAATTTGTTTGATTAGCTTACATGATTAAAGTTGAGAGCAAAAAGGACCCTGATGGGTTTTGTCGAGGATGTCAATAGCTAGAGGATTCAAACAACCAGGCTGCTCCCATGGGGGCAGAACCAGGGACTTCAGCTGCAGTGCCCTAATTGAAACTTGCATCTGTCCTACTTTATTATATTTATATCCCACCTTCTTTTCCTTGCAAGGAACTCGAGATGGCTTGCATAATTTTCCTCTCCCCCATCTTATCCTTACAACAACCACCCTGTGAAGTAGGTTGCCCTGAGAGTCCGTGGCTGGCTCAAAGCCACTCAGTTAGCTCCATGGCCAGGTGGAATGGGGATTACAACCCAGATCTCCCGGGTCCCAGCCTCACCCTCTTTACCGCTACACCACACTGGCTGGCTACCAGGGGTGGACTCCAAGCAGGGAGTTGCTACAAGCAGCCACCCTCACTTGGACAAATGAGCCTGCAGAACCAACTTTGTGTCTGTGGCACCCTCACACTTCAAGTGCCTCCTTTTAAAATGCAAAGCCACCAAGTCAACAATGCACACGTGTTCCATTGCTGAGCTGTAGGGAAGGTTGCATGACTGGCAGAACTTCCCAGGAACCCGATGGCATCCTTCAGAAGCAGCGCTCTCCAAGAAAAGGCAGTTCACACATTAAGTTGCCAGTCAACAAGGACTAAGTAATCAAATGATACCCGCACCCTCTCTCTTTCCTCTCCTTTCATGTGGGTTTGCCAGCTCCCCTGCACCCTCTGGAGCTTTTTACACCAGTTTGATCTTGCAGCCATTAGAACGGCACACACTTGGCTCGCTCCTAGGAGCTGTGTCCGTGTTAGTCCTACTTTGAGAAAACCCGCTGAAATGAATGGGGCTTGCAAGTTACTCCATGGTCGGGTGCACGCTGTTAGCAGCAGCAGGTGACCTACGGAAAGGCCCAGGGCATAGCGATTGGCAGGCCCAGTTGCGGCTCCGCTTGGAGGGAGCGCACGGGAGCAACAGCCAGACAAAAAGAGTTGGCAAGCCGCCCGGGGGCCTGGAAGAGCCTCCCTTGGCTAGGCCGAGACACTGCTGCAAGGAGGGCCCTCGGGCAGCGGCTTGGCGCCGCACCACGCATCCGGTCCCCCTTCTCGCGCCGGTGTGGGCACGCTGCGCATAAAAGCCCCTCCAGCGCCGGAGCAGCCCAGACACAACTTTTCCGCCAGAGCCGCTCCGCTGCCGCCCGGCGGGGAAAGGGACAGGTGTCGAGGCCACGCCCGGCAGAAGCCGCCGCCCGCCTGCGAAGCGGCAAGCGCCACGCGGGCTGCAGAGAGAGGGCGGCGAGCCCACCGGCCCCGCGCGCCCCGTCCCGCTGCGCCCCCCGCCTCGCTCTCCGCGGCCGGCCCGCGGCTGCTCAAGAGTTAAGAAGTGGCCCTCTGGAGGAGCAGAATCGCCGGAAACTCCCAGGCTGGCCTTTGCCAAGGGGGGCGTTTTAAATGAGCCGCGGAGGCAGCCCGGCTTTTGTTACGCGACTTGGGCCGGCTTGCGGGCCGGGCGATGCCTCCGGAGAGGGAGCAGCGTCCTGCCTGAGCGAGGTAAGGGAAGCGGGGTTGGGGTGGCCATTGGAAGATCGGGCGCGGGCTGGAGGATTGGGGGGGGGGGCGGCTGCGGCGTGGGTTGAAGCCCCCGTCTCACACGGCTTCTTTTTGGAAGGAGGCATTTGGAGTGCGAGCGTGCCTGGCAGGATCGGGTGTCCTGCAGCTCCGTTTTGTTAAAGGTGTGATCGCTTGTAGCGACTCCCCGCTTTGAGTTCACGCCTAGTGGCAAGCCCGACTTTCTTTCTTTCTTAGTAACGTGGGAATCCGACTGGCCGACCGCACGGAATCGGAGGGTCTTTGGAACGGGCTATGACTTAGACGTGCATGTGCGTGCAAGTTTGCTCATGCTGACTGAGAATGAGTCCCACCGTGTTCAGTCAAAGTGCGCGTAAAAATTGCAGCCTTCAGCCCTCTTCGCAGTTGTTGCTACTAGTCAGGAAAACTTAAGCCGCCCGACAGAAACTGACGGGAACGGAGAAGCAGTTGCTCGAGAGTAAGCTGCATTCATCCGGTGCAGTAAAGTCCCCAAGACTGCTGTGACAGAGCGTGGGAGGCGAGTTCGCTAACTTGTCTCTGGACTTCGCGCCTCGTAACCGAACGTGTGAACGGCCTCTGCTTGGGAGGGTTCTGGCTGAGCCGATAGGAAAGACTGTCTCTGGTATTTGATTTCCGACGACTGTTTCACCCGTGCCAATCGTTCTCTGATGTTGCAGGCGACTGATAAAATGAGCTTGCATATAAAAACACAACCCCCGGAGGCTAACTTCGAAGGCTCCAGTGAAATCAGTTCTCATGGCTGATGGCACAGAATTGACCGAGAGGGTGATCTCTGAATATGTGTGCATAGGCTGCGGGACAGCGGAGGATTAACATAATTAATAAGGTGAGAAGAGAGCTGAAGACCAGGGCAATGCCTTAACTTTATCCCCATAGCGCAGGCTGGGGGATTTGCTGGTTATGCAAATACTCTGCTTAATCTACCAAGGAGAGCTTGCTGGAGAATAGGTAATTTATTAGTTGGGGATCTTCTGAAGTGACCTAAACAAAATACTTAAGCTGCATGCGGAGAGAGGCAGAACACTTCTTTTTCAAGGCAGAAAGGTTTCCTTTGGTGAAAAAACATGTGAGGTTTTTTTGCGTGGGAAGCTTTTCCCTTCCAAGCTCTAGAGAGCTCCCCTGATTTACTTGGCAGGAGATGACTGGAAGCAGTGATTGGGTGCTTCAGTGGTACTTGTGCGCTGCACAGAACAGGAGGGTCTTGTTTCTTTTTAAAAACCCGTATTTCCCTCTTCTGAGGAATTTGGAAGAAAACTTGAGATGGGATGTTGAAGGGACAGGGTTACAGCTGGGCATATTGGAGGATCCAAGAGATGGGGGTTTTGATTTCAGGCTCAGTTGAAAGTGTTGCCACGTAATGGGACAAAAGCAACTTTCAATCCGTGCAGTTTGGTTGATGTCTTTGGTTTTCTCTGCCTCCTGGAATATTTTGGAGCAACCTCTATCCTCTAGCTATCACATCCCCGACAAAATCAATTAGAGTGTTGTGTGTGTGTGTGTGTGTGTGTGTGTGTGTGTTCCTCTCTCATCATTAATCATATGGACTAAATTGTCATAAGGGTTTGACTTTGGAAGAGTGCATTTGGAGCAGCAAGACCGAAACTTCTTTGGAGCTTTTTCAGTTATATCCTACTGTGATCTATGCTTAAACTCTCATCTATAGCCCTGAGCCAACTTTCTGTGTATGCGCCGGGAGGGGGAAATCTGCAGTTCTCCCACATGTTCACGCAGAGATGCTTTGTGCAAAAGGCAAAATAGCCTCATGTGCATACACCATGTGTTGAGAACTTTCTCACAATGTGTGGAAGGCTGACCTGGAGACAGACACAATCGCAATTCCCAATCCAAGTCTCATTCCTCTGCTTTTTCACATCTACGGAGGTTCTTGCTCCAGGCTATACAAGAGCCCAGTCTCCTGATATATTCACAATCAAAAGGAACATTCCTTGTGGCCTAGTGGTTAAAGTGCTGGCTGTGGAGGTAGGAAACCATTCAGATTCAATAGCCCATCTCAGATCTGATCCATAGTTTGGGAAAAAAGTGCTCAAGTTGAAATGAGCCTATGCTTGTTTAGCGCTGCTAAACATAGAACAAGAGAAGGCCTGATGCATGCACATGTGTGTGTTTGCGCTCACACACACACATATATATGTTGCAGTAATTGATTCCATGCTTAATGTAGTGCAACCCTGTCATTTGAATGTTTACTTTCTACTTACTGTTTGGCATTTAAATGCTTGTAAACTGAAGCTGTTAAACTTTGGGCATATCATGGGGAGGCAAGACTCACTGGAGAAGACAGTCATGCTAGGGAAAGTGGAAGGCAGAAGAAGAAAAGGAGGAGTGATTTTGAGATGGACTTACTCCCAGCCTTGAAGTCAGCCTGGGCAGGGTCATCAAGGAGAGGACATTTTGGAGGGTGCTCATTCATAGGGTTTCCATAAGTCAGGGATAGGTTGACTACACATAAGAGCTAAATATGTTGTGTCTAAGTGCAAATATGTATGCATGAATTGGCTGTCTGTGATCAAGCTCATTGTGTATTGTTGGGTGAAAGTCAGTATTTTCGACCCTACCCTACCTAATAAGTGAAGCTAAAATAAGCTTTAAGAGTCTTGAATGAAGGGTACATTATTTATCTCACCTCCTTTCTCTGAATAATTAAGTTGAAGTTTTTAACCTGGCTTGCCTTGTCAAGGTAATTGACTACACCAAACATTGCCATATCTTGAATACCTTTGTGCTCAGTCTTGGTTCCATACCTGCTTTTATACTTCACCTTTTCATGGGGAATTCAGCAGGCAGACAAGTTAGGCTGCTTGTCAATGAGAGACCAACCTCCAAACTGCACACAGGACTGTAAGCCAAAAACCAATTTGTTCTCTTTTTTCCTGCCCAATTATAAATGCTCAGGAAGGACTTCTTTCAACTCTTACTTTTTCTCTGGTTGTACTGATTTCAATTCCAGAGATGTGAAAGCTTGGAAAAAGACACGGGAATGGTAAGGGACATCTCTGGTTTTTTTTTAAACCAACCCAACTTTGGTTCATGTCTGTATTGATGCTAAGGAAGAACTTTCCCCCATTTACTAATCGCACACCTTCCTTTCCCCTACGAAGTGGTTCAGATCTAACCTGAGTGTTTAGTAGATATGGAATCAAGAAACAGTTTTTCTTCTCCAGCCTGAACCATCTATAAAAGGCAGCTTGAAGCATTAAGATATAGTTTAGGCTGCAATCCTATACATTCTTACTTGGAGAGGGGGAATCATTGAATTCATTGGGACTTCTGTGCTTAAGGTTGTCATCTACGGAGGTCTTCTACTGTTATGTGGAAGTAGGTGGGAAATCCTCAGAGCAGATGAAATCTCAGCATTCTCCACAATTCCAATTTCCTCTCATTTACTTGTTTAAAGAGTCATTTTCATTTTGTGTGTTTGAAATACGTCTGACACTCTTTGGGTATTCTGTTTTAGCAGATGGGTTTATGCAGGTTTTTTAATGATTGCATTCATCACATTGTCATAAGTGAGCCATTTTAATCAAGACAGAAGCTGTAATTGTTCTGCTGTGATCTGATTGCAAACTGAGCAATTAGGCTGATAGAGTAGAAATCGGTGCATCCTGGGTAAAACTGAGAGAGTGTCTGGACCTCAGGGGTCTGAGCATTAAAGTGTGAAGGTGCTTCTCTACACAAGGCAGTTGTTGTGCTCTGATGACCCTTCTTTGCTGAAGGAGGTTTGTGGAGCCCTTTCACGACATTGTCCCGATCCAGTGGTGGTCCCACACCATTAAGTTGCTTCTCCTGCTTTTTCTGTGAACAGGGAAATGCAGTGTTATTTTTACGACGGCTATGACCTCCAGGTACTTCCCTCATAGCAGTAAGTTCTGGTCTCTTGGAGGGAGGATGCTGGGGGCATGGTTGTGATGTCAGTGGTGGGACCGGGGTTTGGCAGTACCTCATCTTGCACTTTTTCCCCTGTGCCCCTTTGTCACTGCTGCCCCATGGCAATAGGCTGTGATGGCTCTCTGCTTTTCCTTCCCTCCCACTTGTTTCTGGATGGCCAACTGCACTGCAGCAACAGGGTGGGGAATTCTTGGGGGGTAATCCTTGGTCTGCTGGGCGTTTGGGGTGAAAAGAGCAGGGAAGGAGATGGGTGAGAGGAAGGATGCACAGGCGTTCACCTGCGTGCGGTGTCTCAGACTTACCAGTGACCCCTCTGAAAAAACCTTCCTGATTGCCCCCTGTGTCTTCGTGAGCCACGGGTCTCGTCTGAAGTAAATCAGATTGTCATCAATAGCCTTTTTAGTGCTTTGTGGTGATATGCAGGAGAAGGAGAAAAACAGGTCTAGAGTGCCCTTTTGATGACATTCTGTGTTCTCATGTTGTCTTCAACTTATGGCAACCCTATGGATGAAAGTCCCCCAAAATGCCCTATTTCTGACAGCCCTGCGCAGCTCTTCCAAATTCAGGTCTGTGGCTTCCCTAATTGAGTCATATCTGGTCTTCTTTTTCTTTGACTTTCCGATGGCTGTTTTCTTCAGAAAGTTTTACCTTTCCATGATGTGCCCAAAGTAGGAGAGTTTTAATTTTGTCATTTTTGCTTCTAAGAAAAGCTCTGGCTTGATTTGATCTAGGACCTACTTGTTCATCTTTCTCTTGGTGCAGGGTAATCGCAATGCTCTCCTTCAGCATCATGTCTCAAATGCATCAATGTGCAGAGAAGCCCAAAGTTTCTGCGATTAGATCGGATAGTGGTGTGACTTGAAAGATCCTTTATTCCTTCTTTGCTATCATGATGTTGGGCTCTAATATCAGTGTCGTTATTTCTGATAAGCCACTATTCCTTATGCTAGATCCCAGTCAAATCTGAATAATAGGCAAAAATAAGTGATTTCATTGTTGGTGTTTAATTGCATAATTCTGACCACAGCTGATCTGCAGGATCTCGTATTTGGGTTTCAGAATGCTGGTTGATGACTTGTAGTAAACTCAAGTGATTATTCTTGAAAACTAACTGTTCTGCCTCTCTCTCTCTCTTGCTTTTAAGGATTGTGGTTTTTGAGATCACTCAGAAGGTGATAGACATTAGAGCTGTAGACATTGGGACGTTGCGGCCACCAAGGACAGCTGGTGACATTCCTGCCCTAAGTCACCGCTTGGCAGCTGTCTGGAGAACTGCAATCCAGGCTGCAACCATGGATGTTATCAGCAGCCCCCATGGGAAGAACCTCAATGAAGTCAGCGACTATGTCAACCACGCCATCATTAAGCGGCATTACAACTTCACAGGGAAGCTGAATGAGAACATGGACACTAAAATCAAAGCCACTTCAGTGGTCTTTATCATCATATGTTGCTTCATTATCCTGGAGAACATATTTGTCTTACTGACTATCTGGAAAACCAAGAAGTTCCACAGACCCATGTATTACTTCATTGGGAACTTGGCACTCTCTGATTTGCTGGCTGGGGTGGCTTACATTGCCAACCTCTTGCTGTCTGGGCCCACGACCTATACGCTCACCCCTGCCCAGTGGTTTCTTAGAGAAGGGAGTATGTTTGTGGCATTGTCTGCTTCAGTCTTCAGCCTCCTGGCCATTGCTATCGAGAGATACATTACAATGCTGAAGATGAAACTCCACAATGGCAGCAATAGCTTCCGCTCATTCCTGCTCATCAGTGCCTGCTGGGTCATCTCTGTGATATTAGGAGGTCTCCCGATCATGGGGTGGAACTGCATTGGTCTCCTAACAAGTTGTTCGACCGTGTTGCCCCTCTACCACAAGCATTACATCCTCTTCTGCATCACTGTGTTCACTGGCCTCCTGCTGTCCATTGTGGTTCTGTACTGCAGAATCTATATCTTGGTAAGGACAAGAAGCCGCCGGCTGACCTTTCGGAAGAACGCGGCCAAAGCCACCCGGAGCTCAGAGAAATCTCTGGCTCTGCTTAAGACGGTGATCATCGTTTTAAGTGTCTTCATTGTCTGCTGGTCTCCTTTGTTCATCCTTTTCTTGCTAGATGTGAAATGCAAAGTCAAGTCTTGCCCTATTCTCTTCAAAACGGAGTATTTCTTAGTATTGGCAGTTCTCAACTCAGCTACTAATCCAATCATTTATACGCTAACCAACAAGGAGATGCGGAGGGCCTTTTTCAAAATTGTGCGGTGCTGTAAGTGTCCCACCACAGATTCTGGGACCAAATTCAAGAGGCCGATCATTGGAGGAATAGAGTTTAGCCGAAGCCGGTCAGACAATTCCTCCCATCCGCAGAAAGATGAGGGTGATTCTCCAGAGACTATTGTATCTTCGGGTAATGTCACTTCCTCTTCTTAGGAGTTCTTGCAAAGAGGAGGCATGAGAACCTTAAAGGCTGCTCACTTGTCTCCTACCTGAAAGAGGAGAGCTATGGGGAAAGAGATCACTCTGAGGTGGGAAGTGGGCACTTACTAGCGTGCCGTTGACAGCATCAGATGGATGGTGCGACTGGAAAATATTTCCCACTGGTAGCTGCTTGTGTGTGGGCTTTGTGCTGAGACAGCTTCAGGTTGTTAGGAACATTCCTGACTGACGTTAACTCTGAAAGACTGGAACCTTGGTAAACCAGCATATTTCTGAATGAGAGTGTCATTGGGGGTGGAAAGAAGGCATCTTCCTATGTTCTCTTCTTCCTAAAACAAATGTGAACTCCCTGAAACAAAGTTCTTGCTGTTTTTGAATGATGACCTTCTACAACTAGGCCAGGGAAGCAGATGTGCCACTATATTCTGGGTGGAGATAAAGAGGACTTGAGGATTTTGGCTCAGGATTGGCTGAGGTGCTAATGCACTTGGGCATGTTCGGTTGAGAGTCCATGGGAATTAGACGTGGAAGGGGGCAGTGGGTTAGTCTGAGGAGCAAAGACTAGGCTGCTTGCTGTCATCAGAGTTGCGTGAACTTAGTGGGACTGTGCTTGAGTTAGGTTTGGCATGTTTGGAGCAGTAGCAGAAGTGTGGTTTGAACTTGGAAGCTGAATCGATTTGATAAATGTGCTACTCAATAACATGGTGTGTTTATTATGAATTTCTATAGCGCCTCAGTATACAAAATACCATCCAACAGCCATTGTTTCGCTTAACCTTACCATGATCCTAAGAAATAGTTTTAGGACGAAAGATGAGACTTGGACATTTGCAAGCCTTGAAGATTGAACAAAGAGATGTGAGTGGGGAGTACAACGAAGCCAGGGATCTATATTCCACTCCACCATACTCCAGACCCTTCATATCCCAGAAAGTTCATAATTTTAAAGGTGTTTATAGGCTGCCAGTCAGTGTTCCCAGAAAGTGTTCTTTGTGTTTATTGAATGTAATTTGTTACTGTGTCAATCTCTATTGTGTGTATATGTATGTATGCATAACTAACCTGAATTAATCAGGTTAAACATGTACAAAGTGTAGAGGGGCTAACAGGCATAGCTGCTGTCCCATATCTAGAACAGTAATCTGCGGTCTGTTTGGATCTAGGACCTTACCTTTAATCCCAAACTGCAACATGGACCACAGTTTAAATTATTTGCCCATTTCCCCCTCTTGCTTCCAGGGGTGACCAGATGCAAAAAGGGACAACAAGGCTTTGTACTTGGAGCACCTGTGTAGGGGTAGCTATTCTAGTAGGCCCAGCTTGGCATGAAAGAGGGGGACTGTGTACCCTCTGCCACACAACCATTACAAGCGCAGGAACCGCTCTTCTCCCTTGGGGAGGGACCCTCACAAAGTGGATGAGGATATGCTTCGTATTAGAACGGTCCCAAACCCTAAATGATGGACACAGAACAGCAGTGGTGCCCTCCCTGATATGAGCCATGTGTGGGCCCTGACCCTAGTGCTTAGAAGTTTACTGTGGGAATAATGTACAGGGTAGCAGAAATCAATGATTAATATGCGGATATTGATGGAATTTATAATTGCGTGTGTCTCTTTTTCTAAAGACTTTCGGCCTTCTAGTATTTGCAGTGCAATGTTTTGTTTTAAATAGTATTTAAAATGTTTCTGACTTTGGTTCTACAATTTGCACATAGCTTCATTGACCTCTAAACATTAATAAACTGGGGTTTTTGTACATGTTCTATTATGACTATTCCTTCCTCCACATTTTTATTATGGCTGAAGTTAGGAAATGGTTACATTATCTCTATGCCTAGAGGACAGGTCAACATTTGCCATGATGAAAGAAGCAGATGCATTCATGTGGTCAACATAAACAGCCATACACAATGGGTAGAACAAATTATTAAGAGCATCAGATGTTGAACACCTGTTTACCCAGGCAGCATTCAAATTGGAAGAGGTGAGACACATACACCCCTATAAAAAGCACATGTAGCTACAACATCAGCCAACAATGTTCTCGTTTTTCAAAAGTCCTATACCAAACTATTTCTCATTAGTTTAGTATTCCCCAGGCCCAGTGCCATTCAGGTGTGTTGGATTGCAACCCCCATCATGCCCAGCCAGGATGGGTATGCTGGCTGGAGATGAGAGTTGTTGTCCAACTGGAGTGTGCCAGCTGGGGCAGTCTGCATTAGTTGATTTGGAGTCGTTAAAAATGACACCTATCCTTTTCAAAGTACATATTTGGCCTTACTAAAAGCTGCTCTCTTCACGTAGCAGAATGATGTGACAGTGCATTTCTGGGATTATTTTACACAGGGCTGTAGCATGTGGGAAACATCCTCAGTGCATAAAGGACTTGCCTTTGAGGAGTTCGGAGCCGTTTCCATAATAGGGTAGACTTCTGTGTGTAGGTAGGTTATATATTTGTGGGCAACTTGAAGTCTTAATGATTCAGTCTGGGGAAAGTATTGTGGGATTCTGTCAACCTCAACTGAATTTTCCCAGCCCAAATTTTTTTGGGGAGGGAGATGGGGAAGCTTGGCCTAAAATGAAGATTGCCAGCAGAACAGTACTGGCACATAAGGCGATAACTTGTGGTGCCATGCTGATTTTCCAGGAAATGTCCTATCCATAAATTCAGAAGGCTTAATGATGATTTTTTCACACAGTGTTTTCATGCAAAGGATGCCTCGTTCAGCTTCCTTTTTCTGCTTACTATAAAAATTGACTGTGATCCCATGCCAATTTTCTTGAGAGTAAACCTATTAAACTCAGTAGGGTTTACTTCTGTGTAGGTACATACAGCATCAGACATTACACAATTTGAAGATGTGTCATTCATTCTACCCTGCCCTATTTTATTCAGATGGTTGTTTTGTTTGCAAATTTAACACTCATGCCAATGTATTCTGTAGTTCTGATTAATTGGGCAATTTAACAATTTCTTAAAGCCAATTGAAAATTTTACCACACTTCCTGTTCTTTCACTACATGCTTTTTTGAAGCTCCCACAGTATCAGTACCAAGATGGTTGCAATCCAACACAAATTTTCAGCAGATACTAAACCATCAAAAATGCATCTGCTGCCGATGTACGAGTCAGAGACTCAGAACGTCAATTTCCATAATTCCAGGCCATGCTTCCCAATACATTGGCTCTTCCTTTCCCTATTCTCCCCTCATTCTTTCTAGGTGCGATGCCTTGAAATGTTACTGAAACATACAGGATGCAGTTGGATTACAAAGATAACCCTCACCTTCTTAAGTTCTGTGTCATTTCTCTGTCTGGTTTATGGTGGGAAACAGGGATGCATGACTGAAAGAGGTTTCATAGGTCACAGCCTTTCACTTCCTGAAGGAAATTCCAAAAATGCCCTGAAGACAAAAACTGGAAACAGACTGGGGTTTCTTTCCATCTGCCTGCCTGCATGGAAGGAATGACTTCATGTGGGATCACTTCCTTTTCTTTTGGCTGATGACCTTAGCTAAGCCCAAAAGTGGGGAGCATCAGGTCAGTATCTGCAGAATATTCGTGTTTGTCATGAATTATTATTTCATTTCTTAGATTTCTGTCCTGCTTCTGTGGTGTTTTTTGGAGTGTGTATATGTCTATGGGGCGAAATACTTTCCTGTTTTTCACTGGTGTGAAGAAAAAATGATTCACAAAACATATGTGATCTACACCTCAAAACATATAAGCAGCTAGAATCCAGTTTAGGATACCGGCAATGACAACTTCCATTTTGTAACCTGGTCACTACATTATAAATAAATGCTATTCATTTTTAAATTATTAGAGTCACCTTTCCCTGGCAAAAGGCCCCCAAGGTGGACCCACAGTGAAAAGGGCTTTAGAACAGTGACAGACAGATCAAGGACAGAGAGAATCTTCTCTTTTTAGAAGAGCGGATTTAATATTTCATACAAAGGCCGAGTGAAATAGAAAAGCAGGGCCACTGTCAAGAATAGACATGCTTGGTCACAGAGGCAGGGAAATGGCACAATTACCCAGCCTACAATGTAGATGTTTGCTCTATCATCCATCAAAAATTATTTCTAGACCCCCATTAAGGATGGAACACTCTCAAGGTGGTGTACAAGATAAAACCCATACAGCACGGTTTAAATCCATGCAATAAAAAGCCCATGCAATCAAAACTGTAAAAGAGATTGCCTATTAAAATTTAAAAGCTTATCAAGAAAAACCAACAGCCCAGATTCATGCGAAGGCCAGCAAAAACAGGTGGGTCTTCTTAGCTTTCCTTGCAATTTTAGCAATTACATTTTATTTGACTTTCTATAATTTTCATACTTTTTTCTGGGATCCCTTGTGAATGAGGGACACTTAATCATTTTTAAAAGAAACAAAATATTCAGAAATGTTCTTCGTGCTGCTGCTCTCTGAGGCAAGGTAGGTGGTAAGCAGAGAAAAGACCTCAGTGGTGGGAACACTTTTGTGAACTTTACTTCCCTGTCAGGCTCACCTGGTGCCAATATTGCTAATTTATCAGTGCTGTGCAAAGCCATTTTCAATGTTCCAGTTTGAGCTATGCTGCCAAATCACTTACTGGCTGAGTGAAGGACTCTTTGTACAACCAAGGTGGAAAACCAAGACAAGGTAAGTTCTTTAGAGCAGGGCTGGGAGGAAGGTACATCTTTGCATGTTTGAAACTTGAACTTCCAGAAGTCCCTACCAGCATGGCCAGTGCTGAGAAATGCTGGAAGCTGAAGACCAGAACACCTGGGGATCTCCTTTACTCCTGCATTAGACTTGACAATAAGAGAAATTTGGGATAATTTTATGAAGCATGGAACAACAGAGCTGCTTTTGTCTGCGATTCCGTAGCCATTTTCTTTCCTGTTTCATTTTCTATAACTTAATTTCTCTGTGTGGTAAAGTCTGTGTAAACATTAGTGTGGTGAGCTGTGTGGGGGACACATCTGCTTCCCAGGAACTGTATGGGAAGAACACCAGTTGTTGTTAAGATGGTTGAGTGCAACTAGAGGCGCTGGGTTTCCATTGTGTTTTTATCCTAAAACAAACAGGTTTCTTTCATAATAAGTGTGTCTGTTCTTGCTGGCTGCCAAAGAACCCTCCATATCTCTCTCGTGACACTGTGGAAAATAAAAGAGGAGCAGTCTCTGAAAAGTCCCTCTTGAATTTTTCTCTGATGGGGTTTCCCTGTGTCATGCCTTTTGCAAAGGCCATTAGTTCCACATGTACGTCAGTAATGAGGAACTTCTCACAATATTGTCTTCTCCTGTTTCAGTATGGAATATTTCCTACACAGTTTTGCCCCAGTTTATCTCCCTCTGGGTTTGTTTTCAGCGGCGAATGGGTTTTCCTCACACCTCCGCTTGCATAGCATGTGAATCTTCCTGTCTCATATCTGTTTCATTTTGAGCCAAACTATCCGTCTCCTTTTAGAAACTGTGAGCCTTCCAATGCCCAGGGCAAACAGGACATGGCTATTACACCATACTCTGCTTGTGTACGCTCAGGCAATTAGCTGTCCACTGTCGGAGACAGGGATGCTAGGCTACATGCATTCTTGATCTGATCCAGCAGAGGCCGCTAAGCCCCTATCCTCTGTTTTCTTTTTCTGAACATCTAAGCTGCCTGCAACCCTTCCAACACCACAGTAGCTCCGGTTTGTCCAAGGCTTAGCATGTAGCTTTGAGGTTTCTGCTCTTCAGACCAGGAGAAAGGGTGGGATGTGCATGACATGGGAACTGAAATATCCCACCAAACATGAATCATTGGACATCCCTGTGCATGCCTGGAAACCACATCTGTATCTGAGCCCACTTCCCTTTACAGCATGGTCTTTTGTGGGAGGTTGCTGGAACAGCTGAAAACCGTGATAAAGAGAGCCAGCAATGAATGCTGGCAATGGACTCAGCCACAGGCTGCAAACAGCCACAAACCCCTCCTTTCCTGCAGGCTTCTGAGATGCCCTGTACCTTCTGCGTGGATGACCTATGATTTGGGACAACTAGCAGGAGAAAAGAGAAGTTTTTATTTATTTATTTATTTATTTATTAAAACATTTTTATGCCGCCCCATTCGCCGAAGCCTCGGGGCGGCTCACATCATTAAGTTAAAATAATTATAATATAAATTAAAAATATAAATATTAAATTAAAATACAACAATACAGTATAAAATAAGCCGCCCTGGCCAGATAAATCCAATAATGTTAACAGTTAAAATGCCGCTTGACTGTGAATAAGAAAATTCTGCAAAAGTCTGGTCTCTGTTCTTTCTCTTTGTACTGGGTAAGGGACACCCAAATCTCTCCTGGTTACTGTGACTTGTACAGGAATCCCCGTGAACTTTTTTGGCACACGTGGCTTTTGCTGCCACCTGCTTCCTTGGAATACTTTCCCCACCCCAACTTCAGCAGTTAATTGTTTTTAAGCATGGGTTTGGTTGCCTGGTTACCTGCGGTAAACAGGCTATCCCAGTTTCTGATCAGTGTCCTCTTTCCTGTCATCTCCAGTCCATGATCCCAGAGATGGAGGCAGTTCATTTTAGAACCTGGGCTTAGCAATGTGTGTGGCTTTAGGTTTCAGTGGAGAAGCATGTAGCTGGCATTTCTATCTCTTCCCACTCCATTTCATCCTTTAATAATCAGGGTTGTAGTGGAATCAAGGTCCCTGCAGATGCAGCACCAGCACTTTCTAATTAGCAAGACACTGATAACATTTGCCACCCGTTCACGTCTTTCTC